AGTTTTGGGGATAGTCTGAGAGGCTGCCTGCTTTATTGCCTAGACAAGTCTTGCCTCAAGCACGTCCACATTTTCACTGCGTTTGTGTTGTGGTCTTTAAGCTGGACCAGTATCCAAAAATTTAGTGACTGTGCCAGTGGTCGCTTGTAATGGTTTCATCGACACATCACCAAATTCTCTCATGTCAATTACATCAGCTATGTGAATGCCTGACGCATTTGGACTCATGCATGGATCCAGCAAAGGCAGATGTGCACTGAAGTTTCCCCCTATGATCACTCGGTCTTGTGCTGCAGTAGCACAGACCTGGTTTAGATCTAAGCTGTCACACAGTGGTCTGTTACACACATTGTACAGTTTAAGGGGGCTCCCAGGCAGGTGGATCAACAGCAAGATATACCACGCCATCTCAACAGTGCGACGGGTCAGCTATTAAGGAGCAGGGGATTGTTGCATTGACCAGGGTCATCAAGCCTCTAGCGTCATCCAGGCTTGACGAGCTGAAGACATGATAGCCTGTTGATTGGAGAAAGGAGCTTTCTACTGTAGTATGCTTAAATTGTGTGCCATGATTGTTACTTTGAGTCACGTCGGATTTGTCTGTGGTATATTCGTCTCCAGCCTCAGATGCCCCAGTCCTGGTGACATTTGACATGTACAGATTCTTGTTCATTGAGAAATGTACATCTTTCAAGTGCTGTGGCAATCTAGTTGAAGATTTACCGGGAGATGTAGAGCCTGTGTTAGATCTACCATTTTGGCAGGTTTGGGTTAATCCAGACCTTGGCTATACAGACTCTGCTTGCAGTGAGGACATCTGCTGTACAGTTACAGTCTGGTTTGGCAGACTAATTGAGGGTCTACTGGGAAATGTAGAGCCTGTGTTAGATCTTCCATTGTGGCAGGTACAAGTAAATGCAAATCTTGGCTGTGTAGATTGGGCCTGTAGTGAGAGCTTGGGCTGCACAGTTGTGGTCTAGTTTGGCTGGTCCTGTGAGGGCTGGATTAAGCTGGTCGCAAGGAGGGGAGTGTGGCTCAGAATTGGTTTGGAGGCTTTCAGCTTGTCTGTTACTGCCGCCATGGCGACCTAGACTGCCCTCTCCACCTCCTCGCTGGTCCTCCCCGAGGCTGTTCCTTCTGCAGTGACTACAGCACTCAACAGGAGACATTCTTCTTGTCATAGAGAAGATTGTCGTCTGCTGAGGAGGACTTTGCCGTGCTCGTTGAACCTTTTCTCCTGTGGTTCACTTGCTAGGCTGGGAAACTCCTTTGAATTAGAAGTATCCAGCGTGGGTTGGGTAGGTGCCTCCTTCCTCTTAGGGGAGTCCTTTCCCCTTTGTTCTGTCCCCAGACGTGGGTACCTGGGGGACCAGCGACAAAGTCAGGACGCTTTTTGGCTAGCTCCTGTCTCCTGAGGGCCGCCTGTTTCCTGACAGAGCAAGCCAGGATCCAGGCGTGATGCCTCTTGGCGCAGTTGAGACATTTAGCTACTGTGTCCCTCTGGCCTTCATTGTGCCTTGAAACACACTTCGGCACACACACTTCACTTCCTGTGAAAGTTTCCAAACAAGTCTCAAGTCACGAGAGAACAGGGAAGTTAACAAGTTGCCATGTCCCCCAGGGACGAACAACAGCAGTTCTCAGCTGGAGACTCGGGAATTAGAAAGAGGAGAAACTGCCGCAGTGTTGAGTAGAACGGGGCTCAGGATTGAAGTCAGCCAAATGGACTTGCTAATCGAATTAACAGAGTTACCGTTGAATGATTCATTCGCCTTTCTTCATGTAGAACCACTAAAGATAGAAAATGTGAGCTGAACTAGATGATACAAAAACAAGTTGGAAAATAAAGATAAAAAAATTCGGGGCTTACTAGAGGTAGATTCTTGCAATGATTATAGTTCACGAATTCATATATATGTATATATATATATATATATATATATATATATATATATATATACATATATATATATATATATATATATATATTATATATATAATATTATATTTCACATAATAAAGGAGATTTATGATCAAAATAATGAAATAGCAAAAATTTAATGAAAACGAAGAAAATTCAGTAGTTTAAAGTATGTAAGAAAATCTGGTAATAATGACAGATGACAAGCTAGAAATAAAAGAATGAAACCGGAAATGAAAAGAAATTAAGTAAATAATATAAAAAATATATAAACTGAAGACAGTTTCCACAAAGAACGAAAAGCTAAATAAAGAATTGATAAAATTGATAGCATCAAAAGTGAAAAAATTGTACGCTCACCAGATGACAAAGAGGTACAGGAACAGACAGCAGTAGTCAAACAATCCTCGCCCAGCTGATAGAGTGTGCTGCAACAGGACTCAGGAATCTGTAGCGGGCGACCTCAGAAAGTCAGCGACGGGACATCATCAGAGCTGTTACAGGACATCAGAAAAACAGAAGAATGGGAGAGGAGAGAAGAGAAAGAGGAGAAGAAGGGAGAGGAAGAGAAGAAGAGGACAGAGAAGAGAAGAGAGGGAGAGAGGCAGGAGAAGCAGAGAAGGCAAGAAAAGGAAGGAGAAAAGGCAGAAAAAAAAAAGAAAAAAAAAAAAAATAATGAGAAAAAAAAAGACAAAAAAATATAACAAATCAAAAAATAATGAAATTAAACCAACAACTCGAGAAAATATTACTCTCCCCACAAATTTCCAAATCTCTTTACATTCACTCTCCCAATTCTGTGTCAGGACATTTTTAACTCCACAATGCGACATTTTATGCATTATATCTTGCTCTGATGAATGTCGACAAAGTTAACACCATTTGTCTGGCATTTCACAACTCCGGAGAGAAATTCTGAAGAAAGTTGGCCACTTTTTAACTAATTGACGGAACATTTTCTCGGCGCTCGGAACATTCTGCCATAACGGTAAACCTCGTTGAAAATTCGGCATATAAAACCTTTTTTGGGTTTGCATCAAGGGTATCTATCTGCCTATCTGTTTGTCTTTCTGTCTATCCATTTATCTGTCTATCTTTCCATCTGTCTGTCATTCTATGTCTATCTGTCCATCTGTTCATTTGTGTGTAAAATATACGTATGTATTTGAATGTAGCCACACACACACACACGCGCAGATACACGCACACACAAACACACACACACACACACACCACACACACACACCACACACCACACACACACACACACACACACACACACACACACACACCACACACAACACACACACCCACACCACACACACACACACACACACCACACACACACACACACACACACACACACACACACACACACACACACACACACACACACACACACACACCACACACACACACACACACACACACACACACACACACACCACACACACACACACACACACACACACACACACACACACACACACACACACACACACACTTAAGCTCTCTCCTTCCAAGAAAAAAAGGTAATAAATCGTCTTCCTAATCCCTCGGCAAAATTTTTGGTAAGGCTTCGGACAAGTTCATAATAAGCATTCCATTTAGACGAGACATCAGATTTCTATGCTAATTCGGCCTCATTACCTTCGCCAGCACATCACACACATCCAGTTAATTTCAAGTTAGTGACGAAGTGAAGAATCGGGTCTTGTGGACTTCATCAAAGAAAACGGGAATACGTGGTTAGAAAACGGAGGTCACGGTTAAAACGGGTTCTGAAGATGGTAAAGGGGATAACTAAATTGGACGTCATTACTGTCATTATTTGATGTTTATACAAATTTCAGTGTTATTTTTATGTTGATATTATTATCATCGTTACTTTCCATATCATTATTGTTATCATTATCATTATTTTGATATTATTATAATTGCTAAATTGTTATTGTTTGTCATGATTATTCTACTGTTATTGTTTATTGTTATCATTATTATATTATTATCAACAATCATATTGTTATTGTTATATAATAAGAGAGAAAGAGAAAGAAAAAAAACAAGAAAGAGAAAGAGAGAAAGGAAAAGAGAAAGAGCGAGGAAGAGAAAGAGAAAAAAAGAGAGAAAAAGAGATATAGAGAGACTTGCCTACCCCTTCATACGCATACACGCTTGTTTGAATACGCACCATCTATAGCGTATTCGCCTTTATGCGTCGTAACGGGAAGGAGAGCGTCCGTGCTTCAGTAGCCTAGGTTAGGATAGGGCGCCTTCAGAATCGTGACGCCCTTGGGAGTAAGAGGATCGCTCGCCCGCCCCATCTAGTGAGTGATTGGGGAAATAAAAGGGAATGAGGGAGAGAATTTGGGAGAGAGCGAAGGAGAGAATGTAGGGGAGAATGAAGGGGAGAGAAAGAGGGAGATACTGATGTTGATAATGATGGAGAAAATGAAGGGGAAAATGAGGGAGATAATGAAAGATATAACGAGAGAATGATTGGGGAAGAGAATGCGGGAAAGAATGATGAAGAGAATGAGAGAAAGAAAGGGGGCGAGGACGGGGGAGACATTGAGGTAGAGAATGAAGGAGAAAAAGAACAAGGGCGAGGATTATGGAGAAAATAAGGGAGATAATGAGGAAAATGATAAGGGAGATAATGAGGGAGATAAGAAAGAAGGGGAGGACGGAGATGAGAGAGAAAATAAAGGAGAGGAGGGAGAGAATGAGGAAGATTATGTGGGAGATCATGAAAGAGAGAAAATGGGAGAGAAGGAGAACGAGAATGAGGGAGAGAGTGAGGGAAATGGGGAGTGAGAGAATGAGGAAGAACAGAAAACGGGTCAAAGGAAGGTACAAACACAAGTATTAAAAAGAGAAAAAAAACAATCTCTCTCTCTCTCTCTCTCTCTCTCTCTCTCTCTCTCTCTCTCTCTCTCTCTCTCTCTCTCTCTCTCTCTCTCTCTCTCTCTCTATATTAATATATATATATATATATATATATATATATATATATATATATATATATATAAAGAAAAGAACATTATTTTGATAATGAGTGATCATCGATGTAACGATAATGGTACTTCCAATAATGGTATTGGTATGAACAGTTCTACTAACAATAACAATACTAAACACACACGCATAGTAACACGAGCACAGCGGCTCTCACAATAGCCTACGGAGAGAATTATGTAGTCTAGTAGGCTCTGTACCGCGGGATCTGGGCTGCATTCGAGAGTATTCGGGAACAGATCCTGACCTGGGGGTGGACTTAGACTGCTGGGCGTGCTTAACCTCGTTGTTTCTTTTGTACGTATGCATTTATACGCACACGAGCATACACAGACACATGCAGACACACAAACACAGATTCGTGCAATAGTACATATATATGCACACATACACAAACACGGATGCACACACGCACAAATACACAAACACGCTCGCTCACGGACGACGCATGCACACTCGCACGCTGCACACACACACACACACACACACACACACACACACACACACACACACACACACACACACACACACACACACACACACACACACACACTCTTGAGGATACACGTACATATGAATACAAAATCATACATAAAAATAAAAAAAAATGAAAACCCTCAGATAATGGCATCAATAAAATATCTAAAGACCTTTTAAAATCATTTCAGTCCACAAGAACAATCAAAAAGTGGAATATAGTGTATGGCATTAACCCCTTTCCTTCCCAAAAGGACATCGCCGAGTACTAACAAGTCAATTATGCAAATGAATTTAAACTCTTTAATCTGAACTCGGCGCTAATGCTAACTAACTCGAGATGCAGAGTCCTTCGCGTTTCAGGTATTCGTGTTTCCTGGCATCATCCTCTCAGAGCAGCAGCATCTTTATCTCGCAAGGCCAATATTATCTCTCAAACCCAGCATCTTCATTTCACGGTCGCAGCATCTTCATTTCATGTTGGGAACGTCTTCATCTCACAGCGCTAGTATTATCTCTCAAGAGCCAGCATCTTCATTTCACGTTGGGAGCATCTTCATCTCACAGCTGATCTTCAGCATTCATCTCTCAAAGCCAACATCTTCAACGTGAAGATGTTTCACGTTGGAAACATCTTCATCTCACAGCGCTAGTATTATCTCTCAAAGCCAGCATCTTCATTTCACGTTGGAACATCACTCACAGCGCTATATTATCTTTCAAAGCCAGCATCCTCATTTCACGTTGGGAGCATCTTCATCTCACGACGCTAATGTTATCTCTCAAACCCAGCATCTTCATTTCACGGTCGCAGCATCCTCATTTCACGTTGGGAGCATCTTCATCTCACAACGCTAATATTATCTCTCAAACCCAGCATCTTCATTTCACGTTGGGAGCATCATCTCACGACGCTAATATTATCTCTCAAGAGCCAGCATCCTCATCTCACGGTGGCAGCATCCTCATTTCACACTGGGAGCATCTTCATTTCACGGTGGCAACATCCTCATCTCACAACGCTGATTTCATCTCTCAGCGCCAGCATCTTTCTCATACATTTTCGTCTTGCAGCAACAGTATCTTCATCCTACAACACCAGCGTTTTCCTCTCACAACACCAGCATCTTCATCTTCCAACATCTGCAACTTCACCTCACAGCGCCAACATTTTCTCTGAGCTCCGGCATCTTCCTCATACAGTACCAGCATCTTCACTCACACCAGCTCATCTCACAACCAGCATCTTCATCTCACCAGCATCTTCATCTCACAACACCAGCATCTTCACCTCACAACACCAGCATCTTCACATCACAACACACATCTTCACTCACAACACCAGCATCTTCATTCACAACACAGCATCTTCATCTCACAACACCAGCATCTTCATCTCACAACACAGCATCTTCATCTTCCAACATCAGCATCTTCACCTCACAGCGCCAACATTTTCTCTGAGCTCCGGCATCTTCCTCATACAGCACCAGCATCTTCATCTCACAACACCAGCATCTTCATCTCACAACACCAGCATCTTCACCTCACAACACCAGCAGCAACATGTTCATCTCACAACCCAGCATCTTCATCTCACCAGCATCTTCATCTCACAACACCAGCATCTTCACCTCACAACACCAGCATCTTCATCTCACAACACCAGCATCTTCATCTCACAACACCAGCATCTTTCACACCAGCACACTCAGCATCTTCACCTCACAACACCAGCATCTTCAGCATCACACAACACAGCATCTTCACATCTCACAACACCAGCATCTTCATCTCACAACACCAGCATCTTCATCTCACAACACCAGCATCTTCACCTCACAACACCAGCATCTTCACCTCACAACAAAGCATCTTCATCTCACACACAGCATCTTCACCTCACAAACCACAGCATCTTCACCTCACAACACCAGCATCTTCACTCATCTTCACCTCACAACACCAGCATCTTCACCTCACAACACCAGCATCTCATCTCAACCATCTTCACTCACAACACAGCATCTTCATCTCACAACACCAGCATCTTCACCTCACACCAGCATCTTTCACTCACAGCACACACAGCATCTTCACCTCACAACACCAACATCTTCATCTCACAACACCAGCATCTTCATCTCACAACACCAGCATCTTCATCTCACAACACCAGCATCTTCACCTCACATCACCAACATCTTCACCTCACTACACCTGCATCTTCACAACACAGCAACACCTTCATCTCACAACACCAGCATCTCTTCACAACACAGCATCTTCACCTCACAACAGCATCTTCACTCACCAGCATCTTCACTTCACACCAGCATCTTCACTCACACTCACAACAGCATCTTCATCTCCAACACATCTTCTCCTCCAACACCAGCATCTTCACCTCACAACACAGCATCTTCACCTCCAGCATCTCAATACACAGCATCTTCACTCAAACACCAGCAGCATTCATCTCACACCACCAGCATCTTCACCTCACAACACCAGCATCTTCATCTCACAACACCAGCATCTTCACCTCACAACACCAAACATCTTCCTCAACAGCCATCCTCAACACATCTTCTCCCAACACAGCAATCCCAACACCAGCATCTTCACCTCACAACACAGCATCTTCACCTCACAACACAACATCTTCTCATACAGCACCATCTCTCAACACATCTTCATCTCCCAACACCAGCATCTTCACCTCCCAACACCAGCATCTTCACCTCACAACACCAGCATCCTCATCTGGCAGTACAGCCGAGATGAGAATTTACGAGATGCCACAGTATCTGATGTTCCTCGAGGATGCTCTCCTCAACCCTTTTTCATTTCTTTAGCATTCTTGCTTTTATCTTATTTTATCCTCATTCCCTCTTTCTTTTATTGTCTCTACACTATTCTTTCTTCGTTTGTTCTTATATTTTTAAACCCCCTTTTTATCTTCGATTTTATTCTGTCTCTAATTTTCTTCTTTATTTCCTTCCCCTTCCTTGTTCTTTGATTTCTCTTCTGCTTATTCTCTTTATCTCTTTCCTCCTCTTCTTTAATACCATTCTTTCTCCTATTCCTTGCTTTAATCTCCCTTCCTATCGTCGTTATTTAATTTCCCTTTTCTTCTATATTCCCTCTCCTTCGTTCTTTGTTTTCATTTGATTTTCTTCTTATTCTCTCTCTTTCCTTAATTTTCTCCGCTATACTTCTCCCGCGCTTCTCCTCATTATCTCTATCTCTTCTTCTTCCTTTTCTATTCCATCGGCTCTTTGTCTTTCCTTTACGACCAGTTTTCCTTAACTTTGGCCATCCTTCTTCCGTTTCCTTCTCTCTTCTCTCGATTTTCCTTCTGATTTTATATACATTCTCTCTCTTCCTTATTCGCGACCACGTTTTTTCTCTCTCTGTTCATCTATTTGTGTCTAGTAAAGAATCATAGTATAATTCATGTATTGACAAAGGGAAGTGCTACAAAAGGATAATGATATAGTTTATAGATGTTAATTATCGGTGAAAAACTAAACGCACACACACACACACTCACATCTCTCTCTATCTATTTTATTTCTCTCTCTTCTGTCAGACTCTGTGCGTGTGTGTGTGTGTATGTTTGTGTATTTCTGTTAATCTCTCTCTCTCACTATCTCTCTCTATCGCCCTCCCTCTCTCTCTCTCCCACACACACACACACACAATGAATATCCAACATCACTCCCACAACATACATGTACACCCCGCAAACAAGCAAACACCGCCCGCCCACAATTCCCGGTTCTTCACAGAACCACACACCAAGAGCCTTTCACTAAAATACAATAAAATCCAGCGCCTTTGATGATTCGCGGTTTGACGCCTCGAAAGGAGCCTTCTCTGACGTTTTTTTTTTCCTTTCTGAAGTCTGGCAACCGCGATAGGGGGCGACTTTTGAGATTTTTGTTTATTGTATTTTTGTTTATTTCTTCTATTTTTTGGAAATAGTATCATCCTACTTTTTTTCAATGTCTTTCTATTTCTATTATCATTGCGTCTTATATGCAGATACTGGAAAAAAAAGCGCGCGAAACGATCACGAACGAAAACAAGTGAAGAACGAAAAGCGCGCGAAAAGAATGCTAAAAGCGGACCGATTCGAAACAAAACGATCGACCTCAAAGAAAGGTTAAGTCACTGCGGAACGAGACGGTTAGGAACGGAACAAGAAAACAAATGAAACGAAAAGAAACGAAACAAAAACAGCAACAACAACAGGAAAATACAAAACATTTGGAACGGTACAAGACACGAAAAAACAAACAAAAACAAACAACAACAGAAAAACAAACAAATAACGTTTAGAATGGA